AGCAAAAAGTTACTCAGTTACTCATAACACAAAGCTACTCAGGCCATTCTACCTAATAACTGGGAATCTTGCAAACATAGTGGACCGTAAAGTTTGTAAATAGCATCAAAATAATAAATGTAAAATTATACGACCAACAAAAAGCAAAATGTCAGTCTGAAATAGTCAGTTTATTTCATTAACTATGTATCACAGTAAATACAAAAGAAGTCTTCATCTTCCAGACAATTCATCAGCTGAAGAGTCACTGACAATGGTTACTATACAGTACTTGACTATGGATATATTTTTGAACTCCAAAATGATACAGCTAATTACTCAGGAAACCGGGATACAGATGTTTACTTATAATCTTAGGTTATTTAATATCAACAATAATTAAAGCACTTGAGGAAATGGGAAATAGTTGCATACAGTACAAAGAGAGAGTTGTGGAAATGTGGTGCAAACCCAACTCATCTTTTACGTGCCAAAGATCTGAATTTCCTCCTTTTGTTTGTTTCTGATAATACAAGATAGTACAACCCACTGTATACTCAAGCCATAAAACAAAGCTTTTGTTATACACTCACAATATTTTCTTGTTTTGAGAAAATAATTAATTTGTGTTTTTTTGCATCAATGGGAACCTCAAATATGTGGATCAAGGAGGTCATTTTCGGGTTTCAAAATATTTTCTTCATTGAAACCGCCCCCAAATCAGATTTTGATTAACAAAAAGACATAAAAGGTTTTCATATAAAATCTAAAGGCCAGAACCAGGAAGAGATATAGTACCATCCTAATTTCACCCTTGAAAATAAAATGCATAAATACACTCCAAAGTGTAATTATGATTTTTGGTTGGCCTTAACAGACTACCAACAAACTCAAAGATGTTATGCGGGGAATAGAAAAAAAATACAACGTTTTGAAAAGTGGCCTTGTTTTATTTTCAAAGAAGAAAAGTGTTAGAAGGTTTGCAGTCAACCAGAAACACTTTGGACAGTGTTCAAATTTCAAGTGAGCAGTCACTTAAAAAAATCACACTCCATCTTTGTGCTTGTGAGTTTTTTTCAGTTACAGCTTACCAAAAGACGGTGTGTGTGAAAATTTAAAAAATAAAAAAAATAAAACATGTAGTAGCCTAAAACTGTGATCTTAGCTCCATAGGGGTGTTTATTTACAGTATGCAACAAAATAAAACATAAACACTGCAGTCTAGTCTGTGAATGCTGCTAAGGTTACTAACAGTATGATGTAGTCTGATATACAGTATACAGTATATACTGTATAATATAAGAAAGTGTATGTACCGTACGTGTGTATATGTGTTGTGAAATCTATTGATGGTTAAGGTCAATTGCAAAACCAACAAAATCTGGGACTCTGCTTATAATTTTACTATAAGATTTCTAAATAATGTTTGCTTTGCTCTTCTATGTTTTCCATGAACAAAAGTCAAATTTCAGTGTAAACGAATTAGACAAAAACCTTCGAAAGAAAGATGACAACAGCTCAAGGTGAACTACACCTGTGTAGATAATATAAAGGGCTTTAGCAACTGATACATTGTGTCAATCAAATTGAATTAATCCATTGTTCAGTGTTTCTAGTTATTAACATGATTTATGCCAGTCTACAAAACCAGACAGGTAAAAGATTACTTTTTGCACAACAAAATAAATACAGATCTACTGTATCTGTGTTTCTAAAACTGTCCATTTGTTTAAAACAGAATAGCTACACCATAGACTTCTGCATTTTGCATTCGAAGACAGCATTGTATTTACTGTAAAGTACATTTTTTCTAGAAATGGTGTGGATAAGAAAAAAATATTACTTCCATATTGTTCATGAAATATTTAATTAATGATTTTGCTTACTATAACCCTCATATTCTCAACAACATCAACAGAGACATCACATTTTATACCTTTCATGTACGATTTTTTGTTTGTAAGAGTTATTTCATCATAATCAATCATTTGGAAATGACAGAATTTTAGCAGCACTAAAAACCTTCACCACTGATGACCACTTCAGATCTTGCAGAACAAGTCAAGTAAAAAGAGCATTCATTATTTTACAAAATAACTAACACAGAGTGTGTCAATAATTGACTGTACAGTATATAATGACAAAGTAAACTGAAATCTTAATCTTGTTAAAATGCCACAGTACATTTGTGTACTGTTAAGGCAATACGCAAATAAAATTAGACAAGATTGAATGATGGTAACTTTTTGGATTGTTGTGCAGAACTGTATGACATTAGTTGCCTGGTCTAATTTCTTGGGAATTGTATTAATTTCCTGGAGGAGGATATTTTAACACATCAGAGAAGGGACTTTAAGGATATATTAAATTTGAACTAATGGTAAATAATAGCATGGTAGTACAGTGGTTAGCATTACTGCCTGACTGCACTGGGTTCCATTCCTGGGGTGT